TTTGGTTTACTGGCAAAAAGGAAAACGTCATGGTTTCAGTTTAGGTATACAGACCACCCAGTATCCATGATGTCCTCTGTTAAGGGTTTTGGACCAGCAGTTGGCGTAATAGCTATGTCGACCGCGGTTCAAGTCCTGGGCCTAGTGGCTTAAACTCACGCTGGGCACGTGTGCATAAGTGCCCAAGATCCCGAGAGGAGAATGGAGAAGGGATTGCGGCGTGGCCATCCCCTCTAGGGAGTGATTTCTCGCTTTCTATCTCTCTGTCTCCCTCTGTCTTTCTGGCAAGCGCATGCGCCCTATAGCAAAAACCTCTCCAAAAGAAAGAAAAGAAAAGGGTTTCTCCAGCACATGTGTCCACTCGTGTCTACCTGGTTAGGTTCCAGTAAGTACTATTTTTTTTTTAAACCAACCATTCAAAAGCCAGTCTTCACCAACAGTCAGGAGGGAATCAGTCAAGCAAGAACAGCTTAGGAGACACCTGAGTGTAGTCTGCTATGCATTTCTGACGCAAATTTTTAATAGTCATTGTGAATAAGATGGGTGGAGGGAGCCAGGGAGTGAGGAAAAGGCTCAGTATGGCTTTTTGACAAGAATGTGCAGAGGGGACACTGACCAGGGTAGGTGTCGGTGATGGAGAATGACCACTGGCCATTGTGTACCTAATGGTCACCTTACCAGGGAGCGACAGGCTCCAACTCAGAGACTTTATCAACTCAGAGCTGAGAGAGGCTGCAGGTCCAGCAGGGACACAGCTTCAGTTTGCCTGCACATCTTACTACAGACAAGGACAGGAGGCTTCCAAGTTTAGGAAGGACCAGAAACTGTGAAAAGGTCCTCCACGTAGCTCATCCCCTCACCTCGGCCCCCAGTCTACTTCATCACAGGGTAAAGAGGAGGAAAGGCCTGGCCACTCAAAATTCTTACAGCTCCCTCTTTTCAAACATGACCATGAAGAAAGTTCTCCCCTCCCTGTGCTTGTAAAACAATCCCCCCTCACATTCTATCATTTATATACTTTATATACTTTACATTTATATACTTTATATACTATACATTTATATACTTTAAAATCAATCTCTTTTTAAGTGTTGGATTCAATGCATTCTAGTAAAACTAGTGTTGTTCAACCTTCACCAGAACCCAGTCACCCCAAAGTGGTTCCTTGTGTATTCACTCCCCATTGCCATCTCCAGGCCAAGTCACCTTCAATCTTCCTGTCTCTATAGATTTGTCTTTTTTTGGATATTTCATGGAGGCAGACTTATACTGTGTGGTCTTTGTGATTGGCTTCTTGTACTTAAAACAGTTTTCAACCACATCTCAGCATGCATCATTCCCACTCACAGGAACGAGAGTGGAAGCGTGGCCCCAGGAGTGGGGTGGGAAGGGGGAGTGGGGAGGTGCTGGCAAAGTGTACACACCTGCAGGGGTAAGTGCACAGCACAGGGACGGCAGTTAAAGCATGGTACACTCAACATCTGCTGCGAAGAGATCTAGGTACTCTCAACGAACAATACACACACACAAACAAAGGGGTCGGAAAAAAAGGACTTCATTCCTTTTTTATTGCCAAGTAGTATTTCAGTGCATGGATTCAGCACATTTTGTTTACCCATTTGCCAGCTGGACATTTGAATTGTTTCCATTTTGCTTTGCTATTATAAATGATGCTATTATGAACATTTATATACAAATCTTTGTATAAACACGCTGATATTTCTCTTGGGTGGATACCTGGGAGTGCAGTTTTGGGGCTGTGTGATTAAGTTTATGTTTAACATTTTTTGGAAGAGCCAGACTGTTTTCAAAGTGACTGTATCAATTTGCATTTGCACAGCAATGTGTGAGGGTCCGGGTTCTCTAGTCTGACCTATTTCCAGAATACATACCCCCCTCCTCAGAGTCTGACGCAAGCTAACGGCAGATGTGCAAACCACAGACTTCCTACAGTGGCTCAGCCGTCCTCGTGGGTCGCCCTGTCCCACCTCGCAGGTGGAAGTGTTCTTAGACTTTTTACTAACTTGTGAATCTCGTCACCTATTTTACTAAAACACAATTTTTGTTTATTCAGTAATTTTCCTGTATTACTCCTCTTGGTACTTCTGTCTCCTACACACGGTAATTGTACAACCTCTGATGGAATTCAGTTTTTTACATGTCTGTCCCCTCTTGTTCAGAGGGGGAATCTTGTCCTCTAAGAGACTAGCACAAAACATGGCATCAAGTTGGCCTTAAAAATATCTGTTGACTAAGTCCTTGAAGATTCAATGTATATATCTGGTTTAAATGTATACTCATTTCCAAGTCAGGCTTTATTTCCAAAAGGCCAGACATTTTCTATAGGACTTATTCATTGTATCTTAGAAGGAAATTTGGAGCTTTTAAAGGAACCTTAGGGAGAAATCCAAACCTTTATGTGGAAAACCTGAGGCTTGGAGCAGTGAAGTGATGTGCTCAAGGTCACCTCTACATGCAAGTGAGGAGAACTGAGCAGAGCTGTGCTCCTGGAAGAAACTCTGTCATAAAGAGGGGAGCTGGAGTACTGGGAAGGCATGTGTGTGGGGGTGTTGGAAGTTAGGAGGGGGATAGTCTGTGTTAGAATACTGAATGCCAAGCCTGAACTTCATTTTGGAGGAAAGGAACGTTTTTGGGTAAACATGAAATTACCCAGTCAGAATTCTAATAGATTAAAATGGGAGGGGCAAGAGCAGAGTCAGGAGACCAGCTAGACCAGTGAACAATCTAAATGTGGAGCAAGGAGGAAAGGCCTGGATTTGGGGGAGTGTTTGCAGAGAGAACTAAGAAAGGCAGAATTACCCAGCTCTGCTAAATACATGGATGGCTGGAGTCTGCCAGCCTGAAACAGTGTTCTCAGTGATGGCAATAAGGAAGCTGAGATAGAAATGCAGGTCTGCTGGTCATGTGTGCCCTCCCATGGCCCTGGGCAGAGCCTAGTGGGTCACGGCACGGCCCGTGCACTGTTTTGTTCTAATATGGGCTTGACCACACACAAGTGTGCCACCTTGGGTAAAGGACTTGATGAGCCTCGTTTTCCTCATCTGTAAGACAGGGTAGTAACATCTACCTCCCAGGGTCGTAGGGAGGACTAGCTTAGGTGATACACTAAGGAAGGCACTTGGACCCGAGCCTGGTGCTCAGCCAAACTTCAGTTCACACTGACCTCAGTTCCTTAGTTCTGCAGTTCACCTCTAGACTTGCAGAAAACTTCAGATGGGGATTGTCCAGGTGGAAAGGGTATTCATCGCAGAAGCTACTTCCTGCTGGATAGTCCATGTGTGCGTCAGAGAGAAATGATCTTATCTTTTGGAGTTTGTATGTAATGTTGAAAGTTTCCTAAAAGAACCAGTATTTAATAAAAAAAAAAACAAACAAACACCATCGACTGGCTCCTTGGTGCAGTGGTAATGTATTGCTTAAGAGAAAATGGATCCCACATGGTGACTGCAGTTAGAATCCCTGGCCCAGTCAGCCTGAAACATGCCAGGCATGCGTGCAAGAACCCAAGATCTGAGAGACTGGAGGAATGGAGGAAAGGGATTGCAGCGTGACCAGACCCTGTGGAGGGTGCTCCTTTCTCTCTCATTTGTATACACACACACACACACACACACATGCTGTATCATGAATAATGATAATAGTGAACAGTCATGACCACAGTGTTGTCCAAGTCTTAAATCAGTCTTACATGAATAATTATTTAGCTACAATGTCTACTGTGGCTTTCAAATGACACTGATGGTGCCTTGGGGTAATCTCAGGATTCTGGGGCTGTCCTGGCAGAAGGGTAGATGAAATTCTTATCTCTTCTTTGACCCTTCTAAGTTGTCTTATCTATAAGGGTTTCTAGGAAAATTAATATGATTTAATTCACAGAAAATGTTCTACTTTTTAAAGAAAAACTCTTGTAATAGAAACTTCACTTGATCTTAGCCAAAAGGCCGAGAAGAGATGGTAATAGAAACTTAATAAATATGCCAGATTGATGACAATTAAATGATAAACTTTTAAGGGTAAAAATTAATTTTATATAAAATTCCTTTTTCTTAAAAAAATAGTTATTTATTTATTTATTTATTTATTTATCTATTAATTGTTGTCATTTACAAGCCATTGGGGCCAGGACTTGAACCTCAGTCAACCATGTGGAAATCTAGTACCTTAACCACCACACCACCTGCTGGACCCCAAATTTCAAACTCTTAAAGTGGCTAAACAAACCTATAAAACATAGTTTCTAAAGACTGAAGAAGAAGAAAACTTCATAGGATACAAATACCACATCTCTTCCACAATGCAAAGGTATTGCTGCCTTTTTCTGACTGGTTTCCGATAACCACACCTACATTCCAGAATTGTCTTTAGAAAGAGCTGGGGGAAATGCAAATCAGATCTTGGGCAAGTATTTCACGCTTGGCCCTATTTGTTTAGGAAACAAGGTCTTTCACAAAAGAACCACATTCCATGAATAGCATGTTTGTTCTGGCTTAAATGTATTCATTTCCTCAGGAAAGTCTGATTCAGATAAAGCATCTTAGGAAACTCAAAATCAGGGCGTAGACAACTGAATATCACACTATTTTCTGAATTCTGTGGAAATGTTTTTAAAACAAATTGTCATGCTAGACAGTGCTCTTAAACTCATACATGTATTAGTATTTCATGGGCTTTACTGCCTCGCAGACATCAAGTCCAGTTATTCCTGCATTCTTACCAGAACTTTTATTGCAGGTCCGCATACACACACACACACACACACACACACACACACACACACACAGGCTTGTTTATTTACAAACTTTTTTGTTTGTTCAGTTTTTCCAATAGGGTGCCTGTGCTCAAGAGACAGTGAGAGAGAAAGTGAGAAATCACCCCCTAGGGAGGATGGTCACACTGCAACCCCTTCGCCTCCATTTTGCTCAGGATTTGGGGCATGCACACACATACACCCAGTATGATTTTCAAGCCACCAGGTCTGGAACTTGAACTATGTAGCAGGCCACGTGGGATCCAGCACCTTAACCTCCATGCCACATGCTGGCTCACCTCAGGGTTTTTAAATGTGGATTCTGAATATATTTTCAGATGTTAAATAAATCAGCAGGGAGAAGAGCATGGGCTTAGGAACTGAGAGAACTCTGGCATCAGGCCGCCCAGGTCCTGGGTCCTGCTCGGGCACTGCCCCGCTCTCCAGTGTTCCATAGGTGACTTCAATTCTCTGGGCCTCGTTCTTATCTGTAAAGTGGGAAGAGTAACTGTACCTTTCTCACAGGGCTGTGAAGATCATAGGAGTGATGTAAAGCACTTAGAATAGCACCTGGTAAACAGCAAGCATTCAATAAATGCTAGCCATTTTTAACTGCCTGGTTTCCCAGTGGAGTCAGAGCATGCTTCGGTTGGTTTCATTAGTCTAGTTGATAAAGGTAATGATGGGAGACGATAGATTGGCACTCATCACGTAGTTACAATATAAATGAAGATATTCAATGTAAAGTCTCTCCTGGTCCTAAGTCCACAGACTATTGGGCAGACAGGACACTGGAGGGCATCTTATTCACCACTTTTACGTATGTGTGAAGACACCAAGGCTCAGGGTGATGAGGTCACTTGCAGAGAGCCACCCAGGCAGGCAGGACAGTCAGGATGTGTTTGCTTTGGAATGATACTTGATGCTTCCGGAGGGCGACAGTGAAGAGACCAGTGTGGGCATCAATTATCATCGATAAGCCCATTACTAGAGTATCCTATGCCACTCAGAACGACACAGAAAAACATGTACGTATTTGACAATGATAATATACAAAAATAAACTGGTTTTGTTTTATAACCTAATGCTATTATTTACTCTATGGATAGAAAATGCTTTGCAATTGGCCTGTTCCTACATGTGTTCATGTCAAACATCACTTGAAAGACGCTCTTTAGTTAAAACAGTAACAAAAGTCGGTCTGAAGTATTTGACAGAGAAAAGCCTGCACCTTGGGAACAATGTACACTTCAGGGGTGTGCAGGCAGTATGTGCTGCAGGTCATCAAAGTTTTATTTAAAATGATAGAATAGCAAAAATAAACAATATGCTTGGGTTTTTTTGTTGTCATTGTTGTGTCACTTTAAAAAATGCTTTTGATCACACTTAAAACCATAGAATTTTATCCAAAGTATGCTGTGCACTTGGTCCCTAACTGCTTTGATAAGCATCTCTCAACAGAAGGCCGGGTGGGAGGTAGGCTGCCTCCTATAGCCAGGTGGCCTTTTCCTACTCGGACTGACGAAGTCTTTTCTTGTGGCTCTCAATCGCCCTTCTGAGAGCCACATCCTGGATGAGGTCTGACATTCTAATGTCTGTGTGGCTACAGCCAATTTTAGGGCAACTGTCGGGGAAAAGAAAATCAAGTCAGTTCACGAACTTCGATGCAGAAACTTCGTTCACATTCAAGTATCGAAACAGGGACATCCTCCCACAAAGGAGTACATGTTAAAAATGAGGAGTGGGCCCAGTTGCAGTGATGTGCGCTGGTAGCTACTGTTACTTGGAAGGCTGAGGCTGCACAGGACACCTGGGTTTGATTCTTGCCCCACTCTAAAAAGCCCAGCATGCTAGCATGCACCTGTGTTCCCAGCTACTTGGGAGGCTAAGGCAGGAGGAATGCAACACAGTGAGGCCCTGTTTGAAAACAAGACATGTATCTCCGAAGTGATGTGTGCTTGTTCATTTACTCACTGAGAGCCTTCCTGAGCTAGGCCCTGTTTAGGTGCTGGCAGCAGTGCCTACCTCCTGGGGCTTAGCTTCCTAATGGGGAGACAGGCAGTCACTAAATGAGCACTAAATGACCCCTAAAAGCTTGCTGTAAGTTCAGGTCATATTACTAAGGCAGCGAAGCAGGGCCGAGGGAGAAGAGAGTGTTGGGACTGAGGCCTCTCCAGCTGCAGTCAGGGCAGGCCTCATTGTCCAGGAGGACTCATCTTGAGCAGGACGGAGAACGGTGTGTGGGGATCAGATCTGTGCAAGGAGGGTGGGAGAGGGGAAGAGGGTAGGGAAGGAAATTAGGGAGAAAAAAATAGAGGTACGACATCTGTGGGACACAGAAATGGTTTATTACCTGTTGATGGTGACATGTATTGGATTCTCAACTGGACTGGTCTGAGGTGTATCTCAGGTTGGGTCTATTCTCTATACAAACTAAATGATAAATAGTGATTGAATGTACAATAATAATGAAAGATTTCGTGGCTGCTTCACGGAGAACATGAGGCAGGGGGGAAGAGAGGAGTGGGGACAATAGTCTGGGGACAGGGCAGAAGTCCAGGAGAGTAAGGAGGGCAGTGTGGCTGAGAGTGGGAGTGGTAACTGACTTCAGGACTCACTTGAATGTAGAACCCCTGGCTTGCCAATGAAGCAGATGTGGCATGTCAAGGAAAGGGAAGAGTCCAGGTTTTGGCCTGAGCAGATGGGCCCCTTTACTGCAGCGGAGAGTGACGAGGACAAACGGGCAGAGGGTTAGAAGCAGGAGTCCTGCCTGGTGTTTGCTCCCCCAGGAATGGACCTCCCTGTGGACAGACTGGGGTGAGGGAGTGTGGGGGGAGCTGCTGGGCATGCTGTGTAAAGGTTGTGGCTGGAGCAGCCAGGGTGTGAGTCACCTAGAAAGGGGCGGAACTCAAAGATGGTTGGTTTAGATGTGGTCTCCTCTGATGGCTGCATGAAGTCACCTGATTTCTTCTCAATGTGAACCAGATGTGGTAGAGTCAAGTCAGTGGTCGGAGTAGAGCTGATTTAGGTCTGAATTCTCTCTCCAACACCTACTTGCTAGTTCTGAGACCACGGGCAATTCACCTTACCTTCCTGAACCTCTGTCCCCTAACAGAATGGGGCGAGAATCAGAATTTCACAGGGTGGTAGACTGCACAGCACTGCATGCTCATTCCCCTTCACTATCTCCTGACTATCATTTTCTGAGCATCATTCTCGCAAAGTTTTAAAGTTCCTGACCTGTCTGTATCTCACAAATATCCAACACATACATGCACCCACTCATGTATTCACTGGCCTTCTACATGATTGGTCCTGTGCTTGGGTCTAAGCATATGGCTGGGAAATACAAGTACAGCCATGTGCCCCGTGACAACATGTCACCCAACAATGACTACATACATGACGGTGGTTCCATAGGAGCACACAGGTCCTAACAACAGCTTAGGTGTATCGTTGGCTACAGCATCTGTTTGCACAAGCACATTCTATGATGCCTGCATAACGAAGCATTTTTCAGAAAGTATCTCTGTTGTTAAGCCACACAGGACTGTATAATAGTTTCTGCCCATACATAGCCTGGGCCCAGTGATCTGAGACAGCGCTCCAAAAAGCACAGGCATATTAAGGCCTAAAACAACAAGTAGAAGACAAAAGATACAACCAGAGCAGGGAAGGAGTGGATCATGGGAACTCTAATTTGCCCAATGGTAGGAAGGCCATTATTCCAGTACCACAGAGCAAGTTATTCTTGGCCCTGACCTCCAGATCCAGAAATCTTTATATTAGAGAGGCATTTACCAATGTAATACTATACTTGATGACAATATTTATTTTTAAAATACTGAAATTGTCCTATATAGCCAAGTGCATGTGTTAAATCATGAAAAGAGAAAGGCAATTATATGAAAGAGGATCTGAGTGATACTTTCCATATCGATGATTTGGTTTTTCATTAGGACAAGACGTAGGAAGTAGTCCACATTTATTTAAAAGTCTATATTTTTCCCTTGCCTGCCCCTTTATACTCTAAAGCCTCACATTTCCTGAAGTATGAAAGTAAGCTGGTATGATAATAAAGAGGATAGGAACACTTTCAAAACTTTAGAAAAGGCAATTTCATTAGGCCAGCTCCCATGACATGAAGTGCAGCTCCAAGCAGGGTGCCAGGATTACCCTTCCAGAATGAACCGGCCACCAATCAGCCGCTTCTGCTGCCAGTCTAGGCTCTCCCCTCTCCACAGAGCAAGGGCTTTAACTCTGAGAGCCAGACGGTGAATAAGCTGTAGATGGGGAAGTGGCACAGGAGGTGGGGAAGACTTC